CTTAAAATCTGCTTCCTTATTTGATATTAAAAAAAGTTCTTTCTTATTTGACACAAGTTTTAAATTTTATTTTCTATATGACATTTTCGTTCATTTTGAGTCTAAATGACACTTGAAAAGACTCTTTTGCCCCTCATGTGGTATGTGTGGGGAAGGCAATAGCACACGCACACAGCACCAGTGCGAAGGCAGAAGCACACACGCAGCAATACATACACATGCACCAACACACACGCGCGCACACACGCAACAACACGCACGCGCACGTGCACACACACACGCAGCAACACACATGCACGCGCGCGCACACACACACGCACACACATGCACACGCAGCAGCAGCACACACGCAGGCAGCACATAGGCACGCAACAGCACACACACACGCGCATATACACACGCAGTAGCAAACACACGCGGCGGCACACATGTACACACACATGCAGCAGCAGCACATGTGCGCGTGCACACACACGCAACAGCACACACGCGCACACACATACCGTATGAGGGACAAAATCGTCTTTTCAGGTGTCATTTATGTTTAAAATGGACGAAAGTGTCATATAGAGAATAAAATTTAGGACTAGTGTCAAATAGAGAAGAAAAACTTTTCCAGTGTCAAATAAAGAACCAGATTTTAAGACAATGTCAAATAAAAGAAATTTCTCATTAGAAATGGGGACAGATTTGTTGCCATCCGTCCTAACGGCGTATCCTGGAATGGAATGGAGTCAATGGACGTCCTGGAATGGAAACGAACACTGCCACCGCGCTCGACTCTGGATTCTAAAATAGAGAGTCCTCACGACCACCGCGCTCACCGCCAGCCGTCGCCACGGACGTCAAGCACTCCACCTCCGGCTCTTCATCTAAAGGCGGCCAAGCCGGGACCGGCCGGAAACAGCCTCTTCCCACTCGCCGGAGTTCGCGCGATCCTTGGCATACCTCGGCCCCTTTCCCGATGGCAGAGGCAGACCTCGAACGGTCAATACCTTCTTCAATGGTGGACGGCCTTAAACCAGGGCAAAGGAAGGTTCTATTCTGCTCGTTCAAGAGGAACTTGATTGAAGAAACTAAGGTGTGTGCGTGCCAAAGTGTTCGTGAATTTATTTTGTGGTAGAAAAGAGTTGTTGAATTCGCGCATTTGGAGTCATCAATCATGGCATATATTCCTGAATTCGTTGCGCCTTCGTTGGCTACAGGTGTCGCACTTGGCTGCTTATGTGTCGGAACACGCAGCATACCACCATGGCGATCAGAGTCTGGCAGGCATAATCATAGGAATGGCTCAAGATTTTGTTGGCAGCAACAATGTCAGTCTTTTGGAGCCCCGCGGCCAGTTCGGTACCAGGTGCCTAGGGGGCGAAGATGCTGCTGATGCCGCTGATATCTTCACCAGATTAGCACCTATCACCCGTTTAATTTTTTCCAAGGACGATGATGTTCTTCTCGACTATTTGAATGAAGATGGAAAGTCGATTGAACCCAGTTGGTAATGCTCTCTTCGAATTAGCACTCATCCTGCATGATTGCAAAATGGATTGATTTTTGTATGCCTAAAACATGCCGTCTTTTCTTCAGGTATGTGCCAATCATTCCCATGGTTTTGGTCAATGGAACTGGCATTGACAATGGGTCAAACAGCTATGTCCCAAACTATAATCCAAGAGACATTATCGCTAATCTAAAACGGTTGCTTAATGACGAGACTGTTGTACCAATGGACCCTTGGTACAGGGGGTTCAAGGTCAGCTAGTCCTGACACATTTTTCTAATGCAAATTTGGCTCCTTAATTCAACATTGATTTTTCATGCAAATTTTCTGCTCATAACCTGACAGGGCTCTTTGAAGGAAACAAGTTCAAAGGAAGCTGGTGTCACATATACCATCACTGGTGTTATAGAGGAAGTTGATGACACCATGCTTAAAATTACGGAGCTTCCCATCCGCTGCTGGACTGCCGATTACCAGGAGTTCCTTGAAACCATGTGCCCTTGGTGGCATGATGAGGACAAGGAACCACCATTTCTAGAGGTAGGTAATAGTCATACAAATAGTTCCTTCTCTGGGTTTCAGATGATTTGACTTTATTCGACCGCAACCAATTTATAGGGAATATCGTCGCAATGTGATGATGATGATGCAAATGTGGAGTTTGATGTTATCTTGAGTCAGCAAAACATGAATATAGCTAAGCAAGAAGGCCTCGAGAAGAAATTCAAGTTGACAAGCAGAGTAGAAACAACAAACATGCAATTGCTTGACTCGGATGGGAAGATTCGAAAATATGACACCCCAGAGGACAGTGAGTATCTCTATCTAATATGGACACAACTACAAACCCCTTCTCTTCTTGTGGATTTGAATCTGAAATAGTGTTACCTTTTCAGTACTTAAAGATTTCTTCAAACTGAGGCTCAAATTCTATGGCAGAAGAAAGGTACTCCTCTGTTCACAAATAGAAGATGTTTTAACTATTTTTCTGAATCGGATGTATATAGACACGTTTTAGATGTATTCCATATTGAAATATTCAAAATATCTTATATTTGTGACGGAGGGAGTACATGTTAACCTTTTCCTTTGCGATGGTGTTGTCGAAATGCAAACTGCCACATTAACTGATTTATGTTGTGCAGGAAGTAATGTTAGATAATATCAGAAAAGAGTTGTTGATGCCTAAGAACAAAGTGAGGTTTATTCTTGCTGTTATTTCTGGGGACATCATAGTCAATAACAGGAAGAGGGCAGAGCTATTCCTGGAGCTTAAGCAGAAGGGGTATGAGCCTTTCCCAGAGGAAAAAATTACGGCCGAGCCGGTTGCTGTAGGAGCTACAGCAGTAGATGAAGCTGCAGCAGGAGTTAATGCGAGTGAATATGAGTATCTTTTCGCAATGACAGATGGTACCTTGACTCCGGAGAAGATACAGGAGCTCATCGCACTGCACAAGAATTTAGAGGACAAAGTTGAGAGTCTCTGCAAAACAACTCCAGAGACTCTTTGGCTGAGAGACCTTGCTGCTCTTGAAAAGGAATTGGATGTAATTAAGCAGTGTTTCTCTCAAATGTTTTGCCTGATGTAATGTGTTTCACCGCTTCTCACTTGCTGATTTTGATACAGGTGATTGATGCCAAATTTGAAGCTGAAGAACAGGTGCGGAAGAAAGCAGCACTACTCAAGGAACAGAGTTGGAACACTCTTGTCAAATCTCAGAAGGTACAGAGTAACACAAGTGATAAAGTTCTTAAGTTAGAGAGGACTAAGGCAGTACATGTTGCTCTTTACTAATAAAAAATTTCATAGGCAAGTGCACCGGTGACAGATGACGAGGACGAAGCATTCGAACTAAAACATCGTCTGCTTGCTTATAATCTTGATGGCTCCCTCTCCAGAACGTAGTGGTAATGCCCATGTACAATGCTGTGTGTTTGTGCACATGAAATATCCATCTCTTACAGAAGATTAAGCTGATGGCGTAACCACTTTTGCAGGCACGGAAACTGAGAATGCAGAAGGACAGCAGAAAAGGGGAAAGAAAAGAAGGAACGAGCCAAGCAAAAGAGGCAGCAACTGCAGTGCACCTTCTCCTGCGAAGAAGGTGCGAAAGATGAGGGAATCCCCCTTCAACAAGAGGAGCGGATTCGATTTGCGTGAGCACTTCAGCTGCAATAGAAGATGCTGATCTGCTCAGCCTAAGAGGAAAGCAATCCACATCCATTCCGGCCGCGTGTAGGGTGGCGTAGTCCCAGTTCCCTGCGATCCTGATGGGCAGATGGGGATAGCCCAGTTCTGCACCATGTGGGTTTGCGCATCATGTCTTTTGCTGCTGTTCTGTGTGCCAGTTTCGCTTTAGTTCCTCGTGGTTTGTAAGACACTGTGGCTTCTGTTAATAGAAATCAGAGAGGGGGCTCTCTTTATCAACAAAACAAAAACATTCCGGTCGGAAGCGGCGATATTGACTCTAGATGAAGAAGTGTACTGGACTTGAGTGACGATAATGGCTACTCCCATGAAGAGTAAACTCCTAAGCACAATGGCCCAAAGAGTGTGTGGGCTGCAGTGAGACTGTCTAGTTTCCGTGTCAGGGTACTCCGTTTGTGGCCCATGCGTTGAGATGATCGCTATGGAGGGGGCACTCATTGTGCGTTGAGTCAGCATTTTCCGGCTTGGGTATGTAGGGTGTGCCAGGATCGCTGGGCAGGAGGGAACTTGGATTTAGCGGATTAGAAAGTGAGAGCTGAATACCACACAACTACAGAGATGAATTGTCTCTGGAATATAACATCTATCCATATATATATCTTCTAAAATAAGGGAATTGTTATTAAGGCAGAAGAAAGGGAACGGCTTAGATTAAGCAACAACAAATAATAGCAATGAACGGTTCAGATTGACATGTAAAAGATAAACTAATTTAGCAGCAAGTCAGGAGATAGACAGAGTCATTGATGTAATTTTATTTTTTACTGGTCGCTTTATTTTTCATTGTCTTTCCATTGTACTAGCTATTATCTTTCTTGATAATTATAATATATAAGATGCCCTTTCAGTATCTTTTTTTTAAGAAAGACTAGTAATGAAAAAATAGTGAACATAATTCTCCTTGAAATGGATGTACCTACAATTTCAAGGCCCGGCTAAAAATTTGGGCTGAAACCATGCCGTTATTCTACCCTATTGCATAGACCCACCCTCAGGTGTCACTGATTTGTCAAGTTACCATCACAGCGAGATGAAAGATGGAAACTAACTGAAATCCCAGGAAATGCTGACTCGTAGATCAGGTCCAGATGCTCGGCTCAAATATGCACATGGTGATTTCTGAGGCAAACCAAAATAACATTTCACCTAGAGTGAAACTTATGTCCAGGGAGAAATAGTTCAAAGAAGCAAGCTTCCCCTTCCTTTCTTGATTTTACTTGCCTGCTACGAATGCTATCTAGAGGTGTGCACTCACTAATTTAAGATTACCTGAGCAGAAGGCTACATGATGTTCTAGCATTCCAGATACTCCTTTAGATCCAGCTTCAATGAACTATTCCAGTATATCTCAGAGCTACCACGCTCAGAAATTGTTGAAGTGGCTGGCTCCAATGAAACGCCCTCCAGGGCCTCAGCTAAATCTGAATCCCAAAGCCCTAAACTGCAAGCCTTCCTGTAGACATAAAAACCTGCAGCTTTCAGACCTTCTGAGAAGAAATTATTTAGTGAGGGACTCTCCAAGCTTATGTCTCTTAGTAATTCACTTGCAGTATCAGAACTACGAAATATCAAAGCTGAGCATGTCTTGTCCAACAATCTTAGATCAAAATCCTTTGAGAAGACATGATGCAATCTTGCAAGGCGGGATCTCAGCTCTTCTGCAGATGTCTCCCTAAAGCCCCACAAGAAAACAACACTCTGGGTGCTCGCTGTCCTTGTGGTATCTGGCTCATTAGTGCAGTCAACACCATCAGATTCTTCCACCATGCAACCGGGATAAAGAATGTTACGGTGATCTTCAACTGTGTAATGCTGCTCACCAGACTGAGATTGACAATTGGGAGTGATTTTAAGTAACTTGCTTAGCTTAGCAAATAATTTTGTTATTCTCAGAACATTTTCTCCACTTTTTGTGACACCCTTGGTACCATCTGTGCAAACCGAGAAAGAGAGAACGGGAGTTCAATTCAAAATGCCGCTAAGAAAGCATTAAAATGATGTATGCAACAATTTAAGGCTCACACCTACTACTAGTTACAAATAATATACTCCATTTTCTAAAATATGATGAGCAAGGAGAAACTCCATAGTTTATTAGCAACATGGTGTGTTAATTAAGTTAGCTGGAACTGTACCTTGCAGTGGTATTTCTATTTCCATTGGCACAAAGTACTGTCTCTGTAAGTAACTCAGAGCTGCTTGTATATTCTTCGCTTTTCTCAAAGGGCTAATTTCTCGCCACAAGTGGCCAATATCAACAACACTAGAGAAAACCAGCCTCGAAGAACACATAAATTCATGCAGGTTCGGCGGAAGAGGCGCAATAAATTGTGTGTGCATCATTGTTAGGTCTGAGAAGAAAAAAATAAGTTATACTATTTTAGAAATGACAGGTCGATAAAAAATTAGTGATGCATCAACATACCATTCAAGCAATTGTATGATATGATTGGTTTCTCTGAAGATGCTACTAGATCAATAACTTCCCGAAATCCGCGAAACTTCAAATTCTGCTCATCTTCCAATTTTTGGATGTCCATCTGAAAAAAAAGAGTTCCCAAAGAAGAAAAAAAGAAACCAGATTAAGATTACGCCATTTAGTTACATTTAAATGGTGTTGCCAAGTTTTAGGGATACAAACCAGGAGAAGATTTTTATCCTCTGCAGAACTAGTAAAGATCACACGCACAGCCCTAGGCACCCCACCTTTATCCGGAACAACAAGAGGTACAAGATCACCAGAGGTACCATTTACTGTCTGCAGTATAGCTCAACATCATCAATGATTTGGAGTTAAATTTTATACAGATTGCGCCCTACGGGTGAGCACATACAAATCAGACCCTGCTAAAAGCATGTCATCTATTCCACATTTGTCAGTTCTTTATCACAACACCTAGCTCTTGTAGCCAAAACAACAGTAAAAATACTAAAGAGCGTGAGAAAGTGAATATATTATGTTTTTCCTTGGAGGAGTCTAATAGTGTCACATTCGTAAAAAAAAAGAGTCTAATAGTGTTAAGAAAATGACAAAAAGAATTTGGGAAAAAACATGAAATGTAAAGTAGAGAAACCACACCTCCAAAACAAGTTGAACTTGGCGATCACTGCAAACATCGATGGTCATACTGGGCCTTGAACCATATGATTCACTGCCCATGATTAGTTTTCTTAGAGAACTAACTAAAGATCCTGCACGGTAAGACTTCATGTTAGGAGATATCTAACTATCTAAATAATACAGAGTAGCCTTAGTATTATTTATCGAAAGTGCCCTACCATCAGCTGTTTTGCTGGGTTCTGCACATCCTTTACGCCAATGCTGAATTCTTGACTTAATTCTAGTTGTAAAAACTGAATCAGCAACGGATGCACTTGCTGATGGAGATGGCTGCTGAAGATGAGGGGTGAAAGTCTTTTGCCTAGCCAAGGATTCTTGCACCCTTGATAGGTAAGATATACCTGCCAATATAAAAATTAAGCCCTCTATCAAATAACCAAATTTGCCATTTGTTTGGGTGCATGATGTAGGACTCACCATCATAAATGCACATATTAAAATCAAAACCATCACGGGCCATCGATGAAAAGTAAGATGATTGGCAGGAGAAACTATAAGAAGGCATTCCAAGCTGTAGTTCATCTCTGGGAAACAAGTGGAAATTGTACCTGTACAACCAAAAGACCGACAGGAGCATCAGTAATGATGACAGAAATCAATAGACTGGAGCACAGAAACAGAGCAAGCATAATCCTCAAAAGGATGAAACCTGGATTAATTAAATGAACCCAAAGTGTAAAATTAAACAGACATTTACAAGCAATAACTCAGATGATCCATAATAAATGGAGATTTTAGTCCTACAGTCATAAGATATAGTCATTACACATGACAGAACATCGACCAAAGAATATTCTTTGGGGTAGCAGCGCGAGCAACAGAATTTAGTATGACAAAACTGAAAGCAGGTTTGGCAGGCAATCCTGAGATTTTTCAAGCAGCTTTATTGCTCTTTCATATGTCATTTCTGTGAGATATTTCATGTCCCTGTCAGTTGCTTGCTAGTTTGGAAAGTATGATTTTCTTCGTTTTTATGCAAGGAAAAGTATGCTTCATTTTATTACCAACGATCCAGCTCCTTGATTCACAGGAGGATTTTGGTAACTCCCTTTTTTCGAACAGGGTGTTAAAACCTCCGACCTCTACATCATTGTTATGCACACAACCATCTTTATTGAAATTGATGCAAGGCAGCAAGGCCAAAGACATCAACAAAAGGAGTACAAGACATAGACAACTACGGTAGAAACATCACAAGATATGAATTTAACACCTACGATTAAGTCCACTTCTTCCGCAACAGCGCCGTCAAGAATGGATAAACACCCACGCGCCATCGTTGGCACGTCCGGCCGGAGACAGTCAGGAAAAGTATTTGATCCAGGTTGCCGAAACCAAACACTGAAGACCAGCATCGGCAATGAGACAACACCTTGAACAAGGTAACGACACAACTTCATTGCTACTAAGCCCAATCAATAAATAAAGGCCAGAACAAGGGTTTCATCCCAGACATGAAGTGGTGTTTCAGTCACCATCTTCATGATAGATCTTTCCATAGTCACGCCAGTTAGAACTCCATGGCAGTCCTGAGCGGCGCTACCAAATGGTGGGATGAATTCCACCTTAGACCGTCACACCGGGAGGCCAGTCATGTTGCAGCACAGAGGTAGCCGCTGCCACTCCACACTGGCATGCCCCGACTTGCATATTCCCAGGACCGTTGCCCCGGCATCCTCCGTGTGAACAGAAGCATATGCCACCCTGCTTGATGCAGACAGGGAACCACCGACACACTCAAACCCATCAGCACGGTGCTTGTGCCGCCCTTTCTTACCAGCGTATTTGCTAAACATGATCAGCGTAAAAAGGTCCACCTACATACCAACCTGATCCCATCTTGACATTTCCTCAGAACAGGAGTAGCAAAGTTTCGTTTATGCACACAAGGTGTTCAACGAAATGCCTCAACGAGCACACAAGACATAGCCTGATGGGCCACCGCTCCAACATACTAGCTACACTATCTTACGACTGACTTCAGTCCGCACAAGATGTTTGACAGAGCACCACGCCGCAAATCCTACTTGTTGGTGGTGCTTCTTGCGGAGGAATATGAGCGAAAGGGCTGCTTACGGGTAGGCGACAACGTCGGAGCCGGAGGCGGAGCCCAAGCGGAACGGGCAGACGGCTATGTGGAGAGGCTGGAAGGACTCGGAGGCGAATTTGGCCTTGAGGTACGCCGTCTCCGCCGTGTCGACCGGCAGCGCGCGTCGCCACCCGGTGGGGGCGCCCGTCTTCAGCGCCGCGATAGCCACGTAATCGCACTCCTTCACGTGAGCCGCCAGCTCCCGCAGAGCCTCCGGGAAGTTCCTCCTGGTGACCTGTCTCGCCGACGCGGCGGCGGCCATTGGTGGCGGAGGCAGCAGCTGAGCACGGCCGAGGTGAGGAACGAGGCGTGCAGTCTGCTCGGATCGGGGAACCGGGGGGAGGCGGCGGGCCTGAGGGTGAGGCCGGAGAACAGCGGCGACGTGGAGGCGGGGCACTGGAGAGTGGTGTCAGGCGGCGGCGGTGGCGGCGGTCGCGGGAACAGGGGTGCCGTGGAGGTGGTCGTGGGGGCAGGGCGGCGCCCAGAGACCAGACGCTGCGCTGGGGCGCTGCTATTCCCTGCTTAATGGGCCGAAGACAGTGTGGTCAATTTCACATTGGTCTTTTGTTGCAGTAGAATTTATTGTTGAAAATGTACAATCTAATAATATAGGACTATAATATAACTAAATTAATAAGAAATAAGTAAAAAAACTCATATTGTTATAATAAATGCGCATGTAAATAAAATAAAATAATCATACTTTTCGTAAAAGTGTTCATATGCTTTTTTAAAACATTCATGTATTTTCAAAAAGTATTAAAATAATTTAAAAGGTGTGCATGTGCTTTAAACGATGTTTGCATATTTAAAAAAACTATGTATGCAATTTTCAAAAGATTTGACGCACTTTCAAAAAATCTCGTGTATTAAAAGAATGTTGAACGATTTTAAGAAGACGTGTGTGTGATTTTTAAAAACTTTTCACGTATTTTGAAAAAGATTCATTTTTTAAAAAGGTGTATTTTTCAAAAATATTTGTATTTTATTAAACAAAAAATAAATAGAGAAAAAGAAATGGGAAAATAAAAATAAAAATAAAAACTGCAAAAAAAAACAACTCGGAAATAACTAAAAATAAAAAATGGAAAATGGAAAAAAGGAAAGATCAAAACTAAAGCAGAAAAAATGTGAAAGAGAAAAAGGGAAACAAAAAAAGGGGACGCAACTAAGATACCTTTCCCGTCCAAACCTTGCGTTAGCCCAACTTCTACCAGTCCGCCGCCGTCACCAACCCTACGGTTTTGTCTGGCAACACCCGGCTATTCTGTTACTAGTAACAAAATATTATTCTGTTACCATCGGGCTCTATAAGAAGTGATATGCAAATTCCCTATCCGGAGAAACTTCAGTCCGCATGCAAAAGCCCACCCGGCCACCCCACCACCTCGTCCCCTCCCTCTTATCGGCAAAACTCACTTCCCACCGGCCATCCCGCGCCCCACCGCCTCCCGGCCATCCCGCGCCCCGCCGTCGCCCTGCCACCCAACGCCCCGCCGCCGCCCGGCCACCCAGCGCCCCGCCGTCGCCCGGCCATCCCGCGCCC